CTTGAAAAATAGTAGAAGGCGAAAATATTTTCTTCGTACCTCTAATGGAGGTAACCTGAGACCGGATACAAGATCTTTCCCCGATGTATCAAAATCCCGTGTAATCATGTGTGCCGCAAGATTTTGTTGGGAATTATGAAGGAACATATCATTTGATAGTGATTTTCAAGTGCTACAAAACCTTGTATATGCTTTCCCAAAAGGTTACTAATTAGCAGTTATTTCAGCCCATTTTACAATTTTTGGATTCCTAAGCGTTTTTATACCGTGTGTCCATAAGAGTCATTTTTTAAATAACTTTCGACTAACAATAGCTAGTGAGTTGTGGTCTTCGTCATTCGATAGCCAAGACATCGCTGTATCTTTATGTAACACACGAACTGTCTAAAAAAATTTGAAAACCGATTTTTCAGGAGATCTCTGGAAAACCGAGCCATAATTCTGAAATTCACATGTTAAACCTGTGTGCTGACATTTTGTTCCAAAAACAGCATTGCCATCAGACGCATCGTTACTGTCAGGTAGGTTTCATGCGATTTTAATGTCAACGCAACTCATCGAATACCTGTTCTGGGGCTCGAAAGAAATTTAATAGCGCACCTGAATCGCTGGAAATCAAGGTCTCGCATGATACCCGTTTTATAGAAAGCACTTTGTACTACCTGCGTATGGGAAAAGATTAATTTATTTATGCTGCGAATTCGAGAACTATGGCTCGGTTTTCCAGAGATCTCCTGGAAAATCAGTTTTAAAATCTTTTGAAAAACTGGTATGTTAGATAGAGATCCAGCGCTGGCTTGGCTACTGGATGACGAAAACCGCAACTCTCCAGCTATTGTTAGTCTAAAGTTATTTACTCACCTGGCAGTGAGTACAGTACTTGATCGTCATAGGCAGTATTTCATTTACGCTCTTCCCAGTATTTACGTTGAAGTGGAAATGCAACTGCTGCTCTCTCCATTTGTGCGAGCCCTATTTAGATTCGCCAAAACAAATTCAACTGTTTGAGTAATATCAAATATGTTGGAAATGTTTCTTTCTACTTGTCACCCGATCAGCCCACTTCGATGCATAGGATAGCGTTCAAAATAAATACTTTTGGTTGCGTTTTGTGTTTGACAGTAATCGATATTGAAAGTTTCTCATATTTCCTCTATATTTTTTCATTCTTTTAGTATATAAAGAAATGTTTAGTATGCTTTGTGCAGAGAACTGAATGCGGAATCTTTTAAAAAAAGGCTGAGACTTGGCGATCAACCTTGACAGGGATATTTAGAAAATACTAATAAGATCATTCTTTATGAAACACCCGCTAGATCTAATATGAACTTTTGTTGTAGAATTAACATACAGACAGGAGCAATGGCTGGAAAGACCAAGGATAAAAAACATATTATGCTTTCATATCAGGGGGACACTCGAAAAATTGTGTGTGATGTGTACCAGTATTTGAAAAATAATGGTTTTCGTGTTTGGATGGATACTAAAGGTGGCATGAAAAAATTCTTAAGTACAAGGTATAAATATAATTACCATTAAACGCGTGAAAAATATTCCCTTATTTTATTCTGAGCATTTTCCTATTTGTCATTCACAGTATGGCTGAGGGTGTGGAAAGTGCAGCAGCAATTGTTTGTTTCTTGACAAAAGAATATCAACAATCAGACAGTTGTAAGAAAGAATTAACCTATGCTTCACAGCGTGGTATTCCAATTATACCTTGTATGATGATCGTCGGTTGGAAGCCGTCTTCCTGGCTGGGAATCAGTATCACCGATCTATTATATCTTGATTTTAAAAATATAACAGAACAAAATTTAAATATGAAATGTCAAACATTAGTTGAAAAAATTAAGCAAACAGTTGGCACGAAATGTTCTGAAAGTAAGAAAAATCTCGTGACCAATAGGGTTACCTAAGTGCTTACAACCAACGTAAGAAAATTGCTTTGTAGCCGATGAACAACAGATCTGGAGTGCCGTCGAGACAAAAGGATATGCCTCAGAATCAGACGATGAACACGGAGATGTAAATACTGATTTTAGTTCAAAAATCCCCAAACCTCAACGACAAGGACCCGAACTAATTGCAGTAGAGCCACCAAAGACTAAAAAACATGTTTGCGAAGGAGATTCTGTAATACGTTTATTAACTCCGGGAAATATTTTACAAATCGAAGCAAATCAAAATTTGTCGGCGTATGATGGTACATTTATCAATTATTTTTTCATTCCAAAAATAATAATTCAAAATACAAGCAAGCAACCTGTTTCAATCATTGAATTCACCGCTGAATATGAAAATCAGGAGGGTATCTGGTGCGAATGTAAAACAGTTAATATCGGTCCACCATCTAATAATGGCGAATATACTTGGTTAGCTGACAGTGTCATTAATTTAGAACCAGCGAAACTGATGACATTTGCTCTTGAGGTTCAAATCGTAGTTCAAGGGAAACCCGGGCGAGATAACCAACGACGAGCTCGTGCGCACATAAGTTTACCGCAACCACTGAAAATTCGAGTTCAAGCTCACGATACAGATGGAAAAACATGTAGTCTCATTGTAGAACAGGCTAATACTCCTCTTCAATTACCGACAAAAGAATTTCTCATGACAAAGTGTTCAATAACAAATATTATCAGCTACGTTTATGTCGATGACTGTGAAGATCATAGTCGGCGTTTTGTGATCATCTATTTGAATGATGAATCAATATTAACTTTTGCTTTTGGTGATTCTTTACATGGCTTGACGCCGAGGTATTGGGATAAAAGCACCATCAAAAAATTACAAAAACAAGCAAAAGAAAATGGTAATACCGAAATAGTTTTAGATGATTGGAGTAGTTACGGTCAATATACGGCATTGTTTGATCCGATTACATTCATTCTGTACGCTGTTAGAATTGAACTAGTCTCGGATACATCGAAAACTGAAGAAACAGTATTACTCCCACTAAAACAAATTAAATAATCACAAAGGAAGATATTTAACACTGTGCACATACGAATTATCTTAAGAAATCGAATACTAAGACTAACGACTTAAGTCCAACTTTAGCTATAACTAGGGGTGCCACTTTCCCGTTCCTTTCCAGAGTAACAATAAGGTATCTTTTATTTCAAAAGTAAAAAAGAAAGATATAATGCATATCTTTTCTTTCCTGTGAAAAAGGAAAGTGGCGCCATTTCTTTTTCAAAAAAAAAAGACACGCTCATCCATACCTTTTCTTTTGTCAAGAAAAAGGATTTTAACTGCAAAGAACAATCATCTACAGCTACATATATATGGAAAAGTGTCAGCTCTCAAGTATTCATTGTATCTGATTCCACCAGTACTGAATCCTTGTATATCAAGGACCAGCAATGAAAATGATCTAACAAAGAATGTCGTCTCGTCCTTATACTTCGCGAAATCTGCTATGAAGATTTTCGTTTTAATTGTCAAGTGCGCAAAACACTCATAATGGAACGTTCCTGAGTTGTAGACTTTATCTCTATGTAGAAAACAATCATTGTCCTTTATTGTAGTCATTTTTTCAACGTAGCTCTTTTTCTTCTTATCTTACTGTATACCACACCATGTCCATTTTTCTTTTGTGATAAGTTATAAAATAAAAAGTTTCATTTTCTCAGTGTACGACTCTGCTCCACTAAAAAACGATTTTCTTCTATACTTGAGGAATTGTACCACGTTGGAGCGAATATTTGTACCTGTAGCTAGCGCGCAACTGTCTAGCGGTTGCCACCTTTCTTGGATAGAGAGTGTGCTGAGTGCAGTAAGTAATGCTACACATCGGATATAAAATGTGAGTTGTGCTGATCCGTACAAAGAAGAGTAAATGTTAAACGCATCCATGTCATAGGAACAACATTACATCTTTATTCGACAGAAAACCATCCGTTTGAGGATGCTGGAAAAGTCTGACGGATTTCTGCTTTTAATTTGTCTATTTGTCAGAGAAGAAAGAATGTGTTCTAAGTTATTATAGTCTTGGACAGTACTGACCGAAAGAAATTTCGCGACATGCTAGCTATGGCTATCTTGCGAGCTATGAATATAAATCTGTCGACAGTAAAGTTTTCTTTGTACAAGCGAGATGTTGATTCTAGGTGGTCTGAGCGTAGTAAAGAATTTTTCTGAAGCACCATGACCAGTACTCGATGAGCTGGAGTAACCTTGGAAACATACACGTAATCGACCATGCTGAACCAAGCAGTTAATTTCTTGACGTGATAAAAGCAAAGTTTTACGAAATAAGGACTTAGAAACTAATTCCACCTAATGTTAAAAAATTGACAGTTCGCTCAAGAAACATTGAACAAGTTGAAAAGTTTAGTATTAGGTATGCAACGGTAACAGTAATTTACCGATTTACCGTTCTGCTGATAATCGTTATTGTTGAATGCCTATTTAGTATATGTTAAATTTTGTCCAATAAATGTAGTATGAAATTGAAAAAACGAAAGACTATGTCCAAAATGTTTCATTGAGAAAAGAATGTAATGAATAAAAAGAGGGATAACAAAACCCAAGAATAGATCCGTCAAGAACTCCTCTGTTTGTTGACAGTAGAACGGATGTTTGGTTGTTTTCCACTCTGACACATTTTTAATTAACACATTCTTCCGTACCTATAGGATCGTCTCTCTACTTATATAAGCTGTACGGCTTCTTCTCAAGCATGGTGTTCTGCTCATCGTCTGTACCTTGTTTTCACATCTAATTTTGTTGTTATTAAATTTCCTACATGACTAAGTGTGAAATATGGTAAGCATCAAATGTCTATTAGTTTGACGATGAATCTTTTAAGAACTTTACATGTTTCTATACAACAAAGTTTTTATGGGTGTTTAAGTGATGCTGAAAATGTATAAAACAGATCAAACACTCGTTAAAAAATCTTCTTCATTGTATCGAACATGCTCAGCTATGATCTGAAAATGCGCTGATAATAATGATTTATTTAGGTGAGATAAACGAATGATGCAATACCAAAAGGTTGGCAACACAGATATTGAAGTATCTCGTGTAATACTTGGTTGTAGGAATTCTGGTGGTATTGGTTCGGTTCCGTCATTGTCTGGTGAAGGAGAAAATGAAGAACAGGTACATGGAATTTTGAATGCAGCTGTTCATCTTGGTATAACAACATTTGATACGGCTGATGGCTATGGAGATGGTAGAAGTGAAACATATATAGGAAATTGGCTGAGAAGTTATAAGTAATATTGTATTGAGTTCAAAAACATATAATCCAATGTTCATTGGCGATAGTAAAAGATTATCAAAAGAAAGAATATCAAAAAAAAATCGATGGCACACTAGAGTGTCTTGGAATAAAACAACTGGATATGTATCTTTCACATGAAAGGAATGATGAAACACCACTGGAAGAAACACTTAGTTGTTTTAATGAATTACAAAAAAGTGAAAAAGTATGTGCATATGGTGTATCAAATATTAATTGTAAACAATTAGAAAAAAGCATATCTATTTGCGATGATCTTGATTTAAGTAGATATGAATGGGTACAAAATTCAATGTCATTATTAAATTTACAGAAGCAGAAAAAGCGATTATCGAATAACAGGAGTAATTATTGGACCCTGTAAACCAGAGCACTTTGAACCTATGCATGATGCATTAAATACGCATCTTAATGAAACTGATCGAATCTACTTAGCAAATCTATTTCCAATACGGTAAATCGATAGACTTGTTTAAGTCCATGTAATTTGAACCTCATGTCTTTTTTCGTTTTTAACTTCTTAAGAGACATTTCATAACCTCGCCAAGCGTCTCCCGTAACGACAGGCCCTTTCGAATAGCTAGTGACGCTGATTTTGACTCGCCTGTCCGTCACAATTCCCAGGTCCAAAAAAACGGCCAGTTAATCTCCAGTAAACGGTCAACACAAAAAACGGCGCGTTAACGTTATGGAAACGGCAGAAAAACGCCCAGTAAACAAGTCGTTAACTTGCCGTTTTCAGTGTG